TACTCTATGGAGGAATTTGTGTCCAAGCAAAGAATGATATCAGAACGGCGCGCTACTATAATGATGCATGGTCGACTTTCCGAAGAAAAAAATGTTAGTGGGTTCAAAGAATGGTTACTTGTTATAGTAATTTCACTTTCAAATGCTCTGATAAACAAGGTAACGTAACAAAAGACTCACCAATTCGGGCAAAACATGCACAGTTGCTACGAACAGAAACGTCCCCGCAGAGAACAGCATAAGCAGTCCAGTGGAAGCTCCCGAGGATGATATGGACTCACTTCCCACCTGAGATATAAACCGTTAATAACAGAGGTTCTATCGAAAAGAATAAAAAAGTGCACAAAAGCTTACACTTGTAACGAGTAGAAATGTAGCTATAGCAGCAAAGGGAGCTGCACAAGAGAACACCAGTAGATGTTTGCGAACATTTCTTATATCTATTCCTTCCATGAGAAGAAATGAAACCAAACCGAACGCTGCTGGAGCCTGGAAAGTGACCATTTTGCAACTATAGCAGTGTGTCAAACCTTCACCTTGTGCAACATTATAGCGATAAATACAATCAACTGCACATCCGATTTGTGAATTGTTGAAGCACTGCCAAGTGCTATTCCATCAGCTGAAAGCTCAAATACATAATGAATGGTTAACCTCTGACCCAGCAACACAAAAGGATTTGCTGCAAGAATCTCGCATGCATTATTTGTGACCGCCCAAAACAAAGAAAAGTAAATCGAAAACAATAACAAAACAAAATGAACCCACAGAAAATTCATTTTATAAATGCAAGAGAATAAAAACTCAAATTTTGCAACAAACCCCTTCTGAACCAAGGGATAAGCAAACCTGCGGCATGTACGATAAGACCGATGGTGGCGGAAATGCCCATTCTGTTGCGACCGGAACGATCATCTGGCAATGGAGATTGCGTGACATCTTGAACGGCAATCTCCTAGTCATCCAAAAGGAACAGAGACCACTGCTAATTCGGATCACCCTCGCTTAGATGAGAATGGTCAAGCACTGAAGACTGCGGACCACAAAAGTTTTTAGGCAAAGAAAACGATGCAACATGTTCTATATCGTAACTTCCTGTCTACAACATTGCCTGATTCACGCAACTGTCAACAAATGAGTCTCTGAGAAGAATGAAGCACATTTCTGTAGCAAAAAAAAAGCTTTGAAAATCATCGAGTCGAGGAATGATAGAATTTTCCATAATTTTGTGAAAGGCGATCCCGCAAAAGACATCTTTCTATACAAAGCACTTGACCACTATACTAATGAGAGGGCTACCCAAACTACAACAATGACTAAATTTTGACTAAGAACTAGGCCGTTGCTGTTCAAGATATCCGCCTCAAGCGAAGAGGAGAATACCTTTGCTATCTACATCTACCAAGCACATCAAATAAATACTCACTTCTAGTGCCTGCAGTATTACTTATCTGGTCGACTAATAACATGAAGATGAATCCAAAAACAAGAGAGTACCCAATCTTGTGATGAGCAGTATGGTCATGCTCATGTTCATGATCGTGATCAGCATGTTCTGCGTGATCCGCATCAGCCGCAGGAGCCTGCCCTAAACATAAGGATGTGGCAGCTCCACAAGTATGAACACAAACTTCGACGAAAACAAAAACAAATGGATCTTACAACAAACATTAGATAGCAGAATAAAGGTACTATATAAAAGCAATGTACAGCTCTTTCTAAATTCTTGTAATTAACTATGAATCGCATATAGGTAGATGACAACTGCTGTACATTGCTTCCATACAATCAACCAAGAACGTACAAGAGGTGGAACGACTTGAGCGCATCCTGTACCACCTCGTTGATATTGTTCGGAATGGACTACAATGAGAGCAAAAAT